GAAACCTGTGAAGTTGCCCATTTAAAAGCAGCAGAGATGTTCCAGCTAACAAAGGATGGGAAGGATCCCTCCCTCCGGAAGGAGTTGTTGAGTCTATTGCTGGTTGGCATCTCCTGGGGTCACAGCAATCTCCTATAAAAGTTGGCTGAATGGTTGCACTTTTTAATTAAAAGCCATCTTTCCTGATTAGGCTCAGTGGGGTTTTAATAAGGATTTTTACAAGCTGGATCTGTTGGCCAGCATGGATCATCTTTCTCTTACACCTCAAGTGCAAGACCTGCATTAAACACCCTGCTCTTCTGCCTGGGAAGAGATCTCATCCTCATTAGGAGCTATTCCTGCATTTTCCTCCAGAAACAGGCATTTTGAAAGTGTGGTTTTTCAAACCACACCTTGGCACCGTGGCTGGAGGGATTCAGGAGTCTGTGGATGTGGCAGCAGGGGACATGGGCCAGTGGTGGCCCTGGACTAAAGGATCTGAGAGGAATTTTCCCACCTCAATGATTCCATGGTTCTGTGATGTCTGCTCCTAATTCCAATGCAGAATTTGGTCTCTGTTGAGTTTTCCATAATGCCACCATCTGCCACCTGAGGTGTCACGTCAGCCTGTTGAGGTCCCGTTCTTGACCCCACGCAAGTTTAGTTCAGTGAGGGAGGAATGTTCTTCCCAATGCCACGGGCTTGACTCAGGAGCAAGCCAGACTTTAATTGAGTTAAAAAGCTCCTGGGCCTGGATTTTCCATTCCATTCCTGCACTCCATCAGCCGACTCCAGCCATCCCCGGTCCCAGCGCACGGACTTCTGGCAGGTAGTGCCACTTTCCCATTTCCTGACAGAACCAATTTTCATCAGAAAATGCCAGTTCTGATGAGATTAAAGCATTTAATCCCCCAACATCTCAATTTTGATGGATGGCTCCTCCCCGGGGCTCCCACAGAAGGCTGTGGGTCATGTGGGATGTGATGTGCTGGAGCCACGGCCCCAGGACAGCCGGGATGATCCTGGCAGAGCAGCTGCCAGGGGTTGGAATGCCTCCTGGAGTCATAACTTGGGGCTGAAAATTCCAAGTGCACCAGAAATTCACTGGTTTTGGCTACTTCCACCTGCTCAGACCCTGGGCAGGAGCACAAGGAAAAAGGAGGGCAGGGAAGGACCAAGAGTGGGGCAAGGCCATCCATGCCCTGATGTCCCGATCTCTGCATCACCCCACGTAAGGTTTTCCAGGAGCAGCCCTGACAGCCAGGGCAGGTGGGGAGCTGTCCTTAACATCTCTACCCCCATTTTGGGGTGACACCTCCCCTGGCCACCCACCAGCATTGTCCCCCACTGCTGGAAAATGTGTCTGTGCCAGGCTGGGACAGCTGAGCCGAACCTCCCCTGACGAGAAGAAAGTGGCGGCGGTCACCTGGGGACAGAGCCATTTCCAGCCAGCCCAGCTGTCTGCTGGGGATGCACCAAGTCGTGTCCCTTTTGCAGGATCCTCTCCTGGAGTCCTGGAAAGCCTTGGAGTCGCTGGAAGCTGTTAATCCAGCCCGTGGGTTTAATTGGGAGCGAGAACACACAGACCCCATTAAAGCCCACGAGGGTGCCAAGGGCTCCCGCTCAGGCACAAATGAAGGAGCAATCAAACCCACTTAGGTAATAAAAACAGCTGGAGTCTGCAGGCAAGTGCCTGAGGCAGCGAGGCACATGGCAGGCAGGCTGGCCCTCTGTGAGCTGCAGCCAGCCCTGCCGATGGAAAACACCGGGATCAGACCGGCCTGCGGCGTTCTGGGCTCATGGGCAGGGAGCCAGACTGGGAAATTATGGGTCATCCTCAAAAGGCAACAGAGAGCTGGAGCTTCTGGAGCTCAGGCCTTGCTGGAGAGTGTGTCCAGGATTGTTTTTCCAGTGGGAATGAGAAGGCAGAGCCCTGGGCAGTGGCTGTAGGGGTCGTGATTCCCATGACATTCTGGCCCTGTTGGATCTTTTGCCAATCCCCGGCACAGAACCACAGCACACAATGTGAGGGGGCTTCTGGCTCTTCATTTCTACACAGGGATTAATTTCAGAAAGGGTCCCCAAAGCCACTGACCAGGCTGGGGGTCCCAGCTCTTAGCCTGGGAAGCTGGAATCACCCCAGAAGGAATTTGTTTTCCAAAGACTCAGATCATGAAGGTCTTTGTTCAGTGCTTTTATTTGGTTTTGTTTTGATAGGAAGGATCCTGATTTTCCTCTTTTTAATTCTGATTCCAGTGAAGCATTTCTTGCTTCATGGGGGTTGCTGATATGGGATGGGTGGGAGAGGTGGGTCTGGACTATTCCAGTTTTTGGGTCAGTTAGGGAGGAAAGCTGGAGCAGATGTGAAAGGGCTACAAGGAGCCTTGCAGAGCTGTTCCATCCTACTCCAGAAAGCCAGAGCAGAACACTGGCAGTCCCCTGAAAGTTCATCCTGCTCCTTGGAAGTGCCAACACAGCTGTCCAGGGCTAAAGCATCAACTGTGGAAGTGCTTGAGATGTTTGTGATTATCACTGCTGCAGAAACCCCTCCTTGTTTGGTGTTTCCACATCTTTGCACAAAGACAGGAGGGTTTTCCTTGTTTTTCCCTGTCAAGGAAGATCCTGATAACTCCCAGCTCAGTCCAGAGATTTGATGTGGAGGGCACTGCTCTCTTCCCCTCTGGGACCAGCCCACAGTGTAGGAGGTGGTGGCAGGATGAGCTCATCCATGGAATGGGGCTGGGAGGGAGTTCTTGATGTCCCTGTGGTGTCCCTGTGTTTGGTGCCAGTGCCAGGGTGCCCAGAGGTGCATTCAGGGATCCTCCCTGAGTGTCCCTTGCTCCAAACATTCACTGTCAGGACAGAGTTCAGGGCAGGATGCTCAGGGCTGTGACAGGAAGAGAGCAAAGGCTCGGTGCTTTGGAAAGGCTGCTGGCATACAGAGGAACGGGAAGGAAGTTGTTTACTTCAGCTGATCCAATTTTCCTACATGAGCAGCAGCAAAATGCAGCTTGGCACAGGTTTGCTTCCTTAGGGAGAGTGAAATCCAGGGCCAGGAGCTGAACTGCTCTGTCCAACCTTCCCTGAGCTGCTGAAATGCAGAAAATGAGGAAAAGTAGGGTAGAAGGGCCACCAAGAAGAGCCCAGCAAAAGGAATTGTGGAATATCCTGAGACAAAAGCTCCCAGAGTCGTGAGAGGATGAACAAACACAGCTGGAGGGGAGAGATCCCACCGCAAAGCACCTGGAAGGGACAATTCCTCTTCTAAGGAATTCTGCTGGAGTCTCAGTGGGGCTTTCCAGCCTCCAGGCTGCTCTGGCCATCAGCTGATCCTGCAGCTCTCCAGGAGCAGAGCGGAGGCCGTGACTCAGAGCTCTGCTGGCAGCAGGGAGAAGGGAAGAGGCTCCTGAGCTCCTCCGGAGAGCCGGAGCAGCCTGGCAGGGCCTGGTGCTCCCTGGCACACGGGGGATGCTCCAGGGCTCAGGAAGGGCTGCCAGTGTCTCAGGCCATCGGGGACAGGTGGCAGGGTCTTCCTGGCAGCACCTTGATGCTGCTGCAGTTTTTTCCCCAGGAGGATTTCTCTGGAGTCAGGATTCAGCCTTGGGGACTCTCCCCTGCCATTCTGCAGGAGCCAAGGGCTGCAGGGGGCTGGTTTGGGGGACTTCTGTGGTAGATTTGGTAGCTGTGCCCGAGTCTGGGCATCACCAGACTCTGTGATTGTGCCTTTCAGTCTCCTGTCACTGGATCTGACCTTTCCCTGGGCAGGTCCGGCACCAAGGAAATGTCTCTGGTGGTTCCCTCAGGTCCCTGCCCTTGGCAGGGGGCTGGAACTGGATGATCTTCCAGGTGCCTCCCAGCCCAACCTGCCCTAGGATCTTTTGGGGGACAGTTCAGCCTCTCTGGTAAGGTGGGGATCAAGTCATAGGGTCAGGTCAGGATTTTCCTTTCCCTGTGACACTCGCTGACCATGTCTGTCCCAAGACACCTGGCAGATCCCCAGGAGAAGGGATCAGAGGATGCTGTGCTCAGGCTCTGTAGAGAAGAGTGGGAAAGGGAGCAGGAAACAGATCCTACCCCTGACACTGGAACAGCTGCCCCGTGCACCAAAGCCATGAGGCTGGATTTTGGGGCTGGAGAAGCACACCTGGTTCCCTAGAGAAGAAATTTGCTCTGAGCATAGGAGCACTGGGGTTCCTCCTTGGCAGCCCCCCTGCTCTGGGCTGCTGGGGCTGTCATGCTGCTCATGCACCTTTTGAGAGCATCTGGGGGGCTGCAACTCTCCCCACCTCCTGATCCAGGAGTGGAACCGAACTCCACTGTAGTGGCAGCAGGAGCTGGCCTTGGTGGCAGGGAGGGAGAGCAGGAAGGGAACGCCACGGGCTGTGGGGAAATTCTCATGGGTGGGTGAGTGCAGAGACAGGGATGAGCTGGAAGGAGGATGGAGAGGCTGCAGAAACAGACGTGCACGGGAGGATTTGGGGAATGAGCCAGGGAGATTCACTGAAGCAGGGAAAAAGAAAGTTGGTGAAACTTTTCTTGATTTCTTTCTTTTGATGATTTTTGACCCAAGGTTTTTCCCTTCAAAGGGAGAAGGGGAACGGCTCCTCTTCAGCCCTGGGTTCCGGGCTGCTCTGCTCCCCAAATCCCCCCGGGGGAAGCAGCCCGGAGCCGCGGGCAGGGCGGGGACAGGGGCTGGACGGGAGGCGATGCCGCCCCGAGCAGACGCGACGAGGGGTGACAGGGAGAGGGGCGCACCTGCGGAATAGCAGAGCCGGGGAGGGGCGGAGATGAGGGGTTTAGCCCCAGTTTGGGGGGGCTCGCCGACAGGTGGGGAGCTCTGGTTTTTGGGGGGTTACAACCGGAGCAGGGGGAGGCCCGATTTGGGAAGGGAGTACCACGGGCAGAGGGGGGCTGAGCCCCGGTTTGAGGGGGGGTGAGCTCAGTGCCCGGGGGCGGGCGGTGGGAGGGACCTCCCCGGCCCCTCCCGGTGGGCGGGGGGCGGGGGGGCCGGGCTATAATGCCATTGATGCCGGGCGGCGGAGCCAGACAATACCGCGCCCCCGAGCCGGGTGCCCGGAGCGCCCTGCCCTGCCGTGCCCCGGCCGGCCCCGCTCCGCTCCGCTCCCACCATGATGTCCATGAACAGCAAGCAGGCGTTCAGCATGCACCCCATCCTGCACGAGCCCAAGTACCCGCACCTGCACACCAGCTCCGAAGCCATCCGCAGAGCCTGCCTGCCCGCCCCCCAGGTAAGCCCCGGCACGGCTTGCGGGAGGTTCCGTGCCCGCCGACCCTCTCCAACTTTGGTTTCCCTTTTGGATTTGGGTTTCGCTTGGGTTTGGGGGGGTCAGTCCTCCGGGGCGGCGGGCCCGGCGGGCGGGGGCTGTTCCCGGGGGAGGGGGCTCTGGGGCGGCCGGGGAGCGCGGGGGTCGGTCCCGCTCGGGAGCTTCGCCCCGCTCCGTGCGAGCGCTGGATGAGCGCGGGGCTGCGGGACCCCCGACGGCTCCGGCCTCTGCCGCTGCCTCCCTTTTGGGGAGGTCACCCCGGAGGGCAGAGCGGGTGTCTGATTTGGGGGGAGAGCGCTCGGTTCTGGCACCCCGCTGCTTTTATTTGGGGGGCTCGGCTGGCGCTCGGTTCGCGTTACCTGTCCCCGGTGGCACTGGTGGGGCAGAGCGGGATCTCCGTCACGCCGCTCCCCTTTAATCGTCTCCCGCTCTCTCGGTTTGTTTTCGCTCCCGATTTTCTCTCCCTCCCGCCCCTCCGTGCAGATCCAGGGGAATATCTTTGCGGGTTTTGACGAGACGCTGCTGCGAGGGGCCGAGGCTCTGGCCGCCGTGGATATCGTATCGCAGAAAACCCATCCCTTCAAGCCGGACGCCACCTACCACACCATGAGCAGCGTGTCCTGCACTCCTACCTCGTCCTCCGTCCACCTGCACCACCCGTCCGTGCTGACCACGCACCACCCCCACCACCACCACCACCAGCCCTCGCAGGGCCTGGACGGGGAGCTGCTGGACCACCTCAACTCCGCCCTGCCGCTCGGAGGGGTGCCGGGCCCCGAGGTGGGCTCCACGCCTTCGCACCCGCACTCCCACATGTCGGCCATCAACCACATGGCCCACCACTCGCAGCCCATGAACATGTCCCACCCCCACGGCCTCGCGTCCCACGCCGTCATCTCCGGCCCCGAGACCGAGACGGACCCTCGGGAGCTCGAGTCCTTCGCCGAGCGCTTCAAGCAGCGCAGGATCAAGCTGGGGGTCACCCAGGCGGACGTGGGCTCCGCGCTGGCCAACCTGAAGATCCCGGGGGTGGGCTGCCTTAGCCAAAGCACCATCTGCAGGTTCGAGTCGCTCACCTTGTCCCACAACAACATGGTGGCCCTCAAACCCATCCTGGAAGCGTGGCTGGAGGAGGCGGAGAGGGCGCAGAGGGAGAAAATGACCAAACCCGAGATCTACACGGGGGGGGACAAGAAGCGCAAGCGCACGTCCATCGCCGCCCCCGAGAAGCGCTCGCTCGAGGCCTATTTCGCCGTCCAGCCCCGGCCCTCCTCCGAGAAAATCGCCGCCATCGCCGAGAAGTTAGACTTGAAGAAGAACGTGGTGCGGGTCTGGTTTTGCAATCAGAGACAGAAGCAGAAAAGGATGAAATTTTCTGCCACCTACTGAGGAAGGGGTTGGGGAGGCAGCGGTGTGGGGGGGACGGAGGTGCTGTCCTCCCTACTGCCCCCCCCAGCCCTTCCCAAACAGGGCTTGGGGTTTTGTCGGCTCTTTTTTTTTTTTTTTTTTTTTTTCGGGGTTAAAAAAAATGGGAAAAAAACCCAAAACAAAACAAAAAAAAAAAAGGAAAAATAAACTTTAAGATAAAGGGAAACGCGCCCAAAGCAAAGTGAACAGTTTGGTGCCTGCTCCTCACCCCTGGGCAAAGTGGCCCCTCTGTTCTGACTGGTACAGACTGCTTTTGTAGATAAAACTGGAGGAAAAAAAAAAAAAAAAGATGGAGAAAAAGGAGAAAGACAAAACGAAACGGCCAAGGGAGAAGTTTGGGGGTGCCCGGAGTTGGGGCAGCAGCAGCGAGAGCCCGGTGGGTCTTTGTCACAGCCCCTCCCGGCTTGGGGACCGTGGCACCGCTCGCTCCTCTGTGTCCTCTCCCCTTAAAAAAAAAAAAAAAAAAATTAAAAAAGGAAAAGAAATGAGAAAGGAAACGAGCTGGAAGCCAGCTGTAAACCCGGGGTGCTCCCCGCCGCCAGGGTCCCCGCACACCCACGCACACACACGCACCTGCATGGTTTTGTTCTTTCCCCTGCCCCCCGCAGACCCATCGCGTTTTTGCAGTACCATTTCTGTTTCTACCTCATCGGCTAAATTGAAAAAAAAAAAAAAATTAAAAAGGATAAAAAAAAGGAGAAAATATTAAAAAAGAAAGGAAAAAAAAAATTGGCCCGTCCCCGGAATCGCGGTTTGTTCGGGGAAATGGACATTTCTTTTGCGTTGGTTTCACTCCAACCGTTCGATTTCTGTATGGTTTTCACTGTATAAAATCCTAAGCTTCGACAATCACGTCCTTGGGGCTCAGCGGAGCGGCGGGAGCGGCCCGAGGCAGCGGGGACGGAGCCCGGCCCGGCCTCGGGGCGGCTGCCTCCGCGCATAGGGAACTCTGCACTTTCGAAGGCAAGAAAACTCTTATTTTCCCCCCTTTCCTTTGCATATTTAATAGGGAAATTTACCTCCTTTTATTTTCTTCCTTTCCTTTTTTTTTTTTTAATTTTATTTTTTAAATTAAAGGAGATTTCGTTCCGCTGTGTGTGTGCTGAATGAAATTTTGGTGTCTGTGTACGCTGCAGCATTTCAAATAAATCATGCACGTTTTACCTCACCCTCCTGCCTCCTCCAGTTACTGCGGCTCCGGGGAACCCCTGGCCCGGGGACCCTTTCGTGGGACTCCCGGGGGCTCCGTCCTCCTGCGTGGGGACGGACAGAGGGGAGGCAGAGCCGCCCACGCGGGACGGAGCGGGGGTGGGACCGGGGGTCCTGGTTCTCCTCCGCTCATCGCGGCGTTTTTGGCCTTTTTTCCCCCCGGGGGGGTTCGCTCCTGCAGCCCGGGGTCCCACGAAGGGCAGCGGGGCCGGGCTGCCACCCTGAGCCCGCTGCCCGTGGGGGGACACCCCCAGGTGCTTCTGTCACCCCCCAGGTGCTTCTGTCACCCCCCGGTTCCTCTGTCACCCCCCGGTGCCTCTGTCACCCCCCGGTTCCTCTGTCACCTCCTGGTTCCTCTGTCACCCCCCAGGTGCCTCTGTCACCCCCCAGGTGCCTCTGTCACCCTCAGGTTTCTCTGTCACCCCCCGGTTCCTCTGTCACCCCCCCGGTGTCTCTGTCACAAGGGACATTCCCCTCTCCCGGCTCCGCTCACCCGCAGCCGATGGCACCGAAATCTCCCAAAATTCGCTTCAAACCCTCGGGTGGGACAGCGGGGTCCCCTCTGGGATCAAAATTTGGGGTTCCGCTCCGTCCCGGGGACCCGCGGAGAAAAGGGCTAAAAGCAAACGATTTTTGTTGGTTTTCTTTGTTTGGGGTGGTTTTATTTTTGTTTGAGGGTTTTTTGTTTGCTTGGGTTTTTGTTTGTGGGTGGTTTTTTTATTGTTGTTTTGTTTTGTTTTGTTTTATGACTTATTGGGGGGAAAAATAATCAAGCGCACGTCGTGGCGCTGAAGCCCGACAGACGGAACGCTGCGGTTTTTATCGGGGAAAAACAAAGTAGAACAAGAAAAAAATAAAGTAAAATAAAATTAAATTAAATAAAATAAAGAGAAACGAAATACGATAAAGCGAAATAAAATAAAAGGAAGTAAAATGCATGAAAGTGAACTAGTGAAATGAAGTGAAATAAAACAAAACCAAAACCAAGCAAGCAAACAAAAAACATAAAACAAACCAAACAAAAAATACAAACAAAATTTTAAAACTTCACAAAGAAGTAAGAAAAACAAACAAAAAAGCGAAGCAACAAGCAAACACACAAAAAAAAAAACCCTCACCAAAAAAAAATAGAAAGAAAGAAAAGAGGGGACATTTTGCGGGAAATAGCTGTCGGAGGAGTTGCTCCAGCCGGGCGAGCGGGGCCAGAGCCCCGAGCCCTGCCCGCACCGTGGCATTCCCGCAGCCCGTCCCGCACATCTCTCTTTATTCCCGGCCGCTTCCCAAAGCCCATCCCTTTGTTCCTGCGCTCCGTCCCTGTTTTCTCCATGCAGCGAAAAGCGCATTTTCATAAATAGACCTTGGCCGAGCGCTGCCGATGAAAGTTTAATGAGGCGGGATGCTGAGTGCTGCCCGGGGGGGCCCGCACCGGCTCCGCGCAGCATTAGCGGGGCCCCGGCCCCCCTTTCCGCGCTCCCCCGCCCCCCGCTCCCTGCCCGGCCCGTGCCCGGTGCCGGGGCCGGTGCCGCGGTGCCCCCGCTCCGCCAAGTTCACGGGCGATGCAATATTTATCAGGCGCGCCGATAAAACGCCGGGTGGGGATTTCCCGGGCACAAACGAGAGGCGCTGCGCCGGGGAACCGGAGCGGGGCCGGCCCGGGACCCCCCCGGGCCCCGCGGCCGCCAGGTAAGGCGGGATCCGAGCGGAGGCAGCGGGGCTGGAGGCCGGGAGGGGCGGGCAGAGAGGCAGCGGGAGTTGGTGCTGAGGCCTGGAGAGCTCATCACAGCCGGGGTGCTGCGAGGGAGCCGGCCCGGGGATGGATCCTGCTGCTGCCGCTGCTGCTGCTGCTGCTGCTCCTGTTCTTGTCCTTACTCCTTTCTGCTCCTGCTCCAGCTCCTACTCCTGTTTCTGCTCCTGTTGCTACCTCGGTTTTACTCCTGCTCCTGCTCCTGCTTCCTTTTCTGCTCCTGCTCCAGCAGTTCCCACTATGCCCAGGCCAGCGTGAGCCTCCAGGATCCTCAGGGAAAAGCCTGGAAGGAGGAGGGGAAGGGCCCCCTGTGCTTCCCCCACCCCTGCTCCCGAACAGCCAGTCCTGGGCACAGGTCAGGGAGAAGCTGCTGCTCCTTCCTGCAGCTCTGGCAGCCAGGACACACCTGGGAGCAGGTCCCAGCCATGCTCCGGTGTCCCAGGTCTCGTGTTCAGCTCCTGTTCTCCTGAGGGTCTCTCCTCCTGCACCACCCAAAAGGACCTGAATCCCTCCAAATCCAGGCTCTCTGCAGAGCAGCTGGCACAGGGTGAGGTGGGAAAAGCCCAGGGTGAGGAGAGTGGGTGAGGGAAGGAAAACAGAGACACACAGAGGGGTGTCACGGGCACTCCCTGCTCCTGGGGCACAAAGGACACCCTGAGCCTGACACTGGACCAAAACCAGAATTCAAGGAAGGGAATATTGACTGGAATGGACACTCCACTCTCACCCTGGGTTTTCATCTGAGGTTTAATGTATGAGCAAGGTTTGAGAGGTTTCAGCTCTTTTGCTTCAGCAGCAGTTCCTCCTTTACAGGCACCTGCTGATCCTGCCCTGAGCTGGCCCAGAGCTCCTTCAGGAGGAGCTCAGCTTCAGCCCCCTTTGAGGACCTGAGTCCTCATCTACCTCCAGGCTGGTGGGATTGAGGGGATGGGCCAGGTCTTACCCCTTCCCCAGGGGCACCCTGAGAACCCAAAAATATCAACACCATCAATTCACCAGGGATTAGATGAAAATGCCTCAGGGGCCTTCAGAGCAGGGATGGATGGATGAGTGGAGGCCTCTGGGCTCCAGTGAGGGTCACCAAGGAGCCTCTGTTGCAGCTCAGCTCTGATCTCAACCTCTGATCTCAACCCCTGGCTCAGGGCTTAGAGGCACCTTCATCACCTTCCAGCCTGTTCTGAATGATCAGCTCAGGTGGGGACACCAATAAATGGGGACGTGACAGCTGAATCCCACCCCTGGGGCTGCAAAGGCTTCCCAGGAAAAGCTGCCCACCAGTTCTGGGCTGCTGGAGCTGTCAGACACCAGTTCCTGGAGCTCTCCAGGCCACTGGTGCTGCAGCCAGGATCTGTCTTGCAATCCAGCCCTTGCTCCAAGCTGTTTCCCCCCATGTAATGCTCTTTTGTGCGACTTTTTCCTGCTAGGAAAGACAAGACCCTTCAAGAATTTGGGCATCTAAACCCCTTGTGCTGAGATGTGACAGAGGGATGGTCCAGGCCAGTGTGGCCATGCCACAGCCACCAAAGCGGGCAGGGATGTGTTTAAAGCTATCCATGCCCTGCTGAGGTGGACTCTGGTGGCTACAGGCAAATGTAGATGTGTTTGAAGAAATCCCTGGAGAAACCCTGCCCCTCTTTTATCTTTTAGGATAACGTAGTATGGTGCATTCTTTAGGCTGTTAAGCTGCTCTAGATCCCCTTCACCCAAATTTGTTTCACAGGCACAGGGCCCATCTGTGCTTCCCAAGCAGCAGGGTGACATCAAGGGTGCCACCCCAACACCCCAACCCTGTGTCCTGCTAAATCCCACGCTCAAGGGGCTGATTTCCCCACAGGGAAACCAGGGCAGGGACATCCAGCCTGTCTGGGGACCATCAGTGGGGCCTATCTGTGCACCCACAGAGCTCAGGGTGCTCCCAGAGAGCTCCCAGAGGTGTGGGGAGGCTGCACCAGCAGCAGGATCCCAGGGAGAGCAACAGGCACTGCCTCATCCCAGCGGGATGCAGGCCAAGGGGAGGGACACAAGGACTCAGATATTACTGGCACGTCCCATCTTTGGTCAGGAGCAGAGAAAATGCTCCGTGTTCTTTAAAGGATCCCTGCCTTTGAAAGCTGGGCAGGTCCAGGCTGCGCC